CTGGTAAACATGATCCCGCTGTTGAGAACGGGGGTGACTTCAGTTGAGGGAAACCTGGAAAGAAGAGCCGAACGTTACGAGGGACAAAATTGGCACGACAGATTATATTGACATCGAGTGAACAATGAATTAATTCGAAGTAGTTGCAGGGGGATGACGAACCCCAAAAATTTGATACAAAATTTACTCAGATTACAAGAAAGTTTGATGAGTGATTAAAAAATAACGGAACGTGTGACCCTACCAATTTTTAACTCTCCGAACGAGGAATCCATTGGTGGGGTCACACGTTTCGTGTTCGAGTCCCGTTTAGCGACTCTAGAGCTCAAAACGCGTCCGGGGTTTTGACCGCCTCCACCGGTCTTCTGGCCCACTGTGCGTCTCCTGCACCGCAATGCAGGGTGGTGGTCTCGCGTCTCGTGTGACTAACGGGCGGAGCGTTTCATTGGCCGAACAAAAGGGCGGGACGGGCACGCAGCGCCTCGCTCGCCTCGCTCGGCCTTCTCAATGAGGATCGGTGAAACCCGATCATCGATTAGGAATGCACGGCGGCGGTGATCCGACCCACGAGCAATTACCACGTCACTGCGGCCCCTACACTGGCAGAGTGAGTGGCCCCATTCGCATTACGTTTTCGCACACCGCAAAAAAAAATGCAAGGAAGAGGTTAGTTTTGATAAAGTTGGAATAAGTTAGGAAAGACAAGTACAGAGGAAGCAAAATATACACTTCCTTGGAGCTGATATCTTAGCTTTGAGTCGCTTGGAACCATCCCTCGATCGGTTATGCCAAAATAAATTGAAAATATAAGCAGGAGAGCCTGTCAAATGTACGTCGAGATGTCTGCAGAAGGGGTTGCAGAAGGTGAGGCAGCACTTTTCTTCATATCCTGTACCGTTATGGCACCGAGCAGACTTGAAACCGTCCATCATATCGGCTTTTATTGGATCCAAGAAATGACATAAATGGCAAAAGCTGGGTAGTGGGTTTTTTTGTGCCTCCTAAAAGCACCCATACATCGTAATGTGTGGACGTGAGAGTGTGAGCGAGTGTGACGCGGCGGCAGGACCGGAGCAGCGCGGCAAACTCATCCCAGACAGAAATTTTTAATTAGGAGCCAACGCGGTGCCTAAGTGGCTGCGCAAAGGGCCGCCACCACCTCCAGCAGCGGCAGCGGGAGCAGGCAGCAGTGGAAGCAGCAGCACCACCACCACCACCACCACCACCACCACCACCACCACCACCACCACCACCCACCACCACCCTCTGAAGAAGCAGCAGCAATAGAAGCAGCAGCAGTGGAAGCAGCAGTAGAAGCAGCAGCACAACCACCACCACCTGCAGTAGCAGCAGCAATAGAAGCAGCAGCAGTAGAAGCAGCAGCACAGCACAACCACCACCACCACCATCATACCACCACCTGCAGAAGCAATAGAAGCAGCAGTAGCAGAAGCAGCAGCACCGAACTATACCATCATCAACAGCTAGCAGCAGCATCACCACTACTACCACCACCACTGCGATTTCTCAGCAACCCTCCAAAAAAAAAAAACATCTTAATTCGAGTTTAAAACGTGAGCACCGCGGTGCCCACCCCGGCCCAGCCCGGCCCGCGCGTGCGCACCCGGGCACCGCGAGGTTGTTTATCTTTGACTAGTTGCTAGACAAGGCGTCGCGACGCGCACGGCGGCCTATGGCGCACGCGGGGCGCGCGGCGCCGAGGGGCTGCACACAGCCTTTCACCCTTTCACTCGCACATAAAGGGGGAAGGGCCCTCGCACTGCCTGGCGGTGCCTGCCTGGCGCCCCGACATGCACTCCGGCGTGGCTTTGACTACGTCCCAGGCCGTGCCGCCGCTGCCGACGTGAGGCCGACGTTTTATCCCTCTGAATATCGCATTTTATTCGGCCATTGTGGAGCCAAACGCGCCGGGATGTGGGCACACACACGCACACACACATACACACGGGACACACGGTTGTGGCGGCGCCAGAGGCGGCACTCTAGAGATCTCTGGCCAGGCGGACGCGACTTCACACGATTTTACAAAAACACACGCTCTCACACACAGACCCCCTACACTCAGACACAGGCGCGCGCGCACACACACACACACAGTCGGCTACGGTCGTTGGACAAGCCTCTAGATCAGATTCCGAGAAAATCATCAAATCGATCATCCTGGAATGGATGCAACGCAACCTGTACTGATCTCGGCATAAAGGACAGGGGCCGGCCGGCTATACATGCCACACTGCACTGTTCCTTTTGATTCTGCTGCAACCTACTTCACAATAAATAAAACCCTTCTGTGTAATTTTCACATAGTCTGCGGACCGATAATGTCGTTTTGAAAATAAGCATAAATGAGAGAACATCAACCCGTTGGTACTAACACGTTTGCGAGCGTCCTATCAACACGTGCTCGCTACTTCTTCTAATCGATCCACCCCTCGGGAAAAGTTAATGCTCACAAGATTTTAGTGTGTATTGAATGCCGCCTGGCCTGGCATGCGCCGGTCTGCGTGTGTGTGTGTGTGTGTATGTGTGTGTGTGTGTGTGAGAGAGAGAGAGAGAGAGAGAGAGAGAGAGAGTGTGTGTGTGTCTGTCTGTCTGTGTAGGTGTGTATCTGTGTGTGTGTGTGTAGCCGCCTCTGCCGGACGGTGACAGCAGCGCCGCGTGTCTCCCACCTCACCCCGCCCCGCCCCCGCCACGCCCACCGCAATTACCGAATCAGCACGTCCCGCGCGCCGTTCGGAAACGTACGCCACTAGTTGTGTTTGTCGCCACCCCGAAGTGAGGCGGGCTCCGCACTGCCGGCACTGCCACGAGCAGGCGCACGGGACGAGCCGCACAAAAGGCGAAATGCCGAAATAAATGGGAAAGTGTTGCCGGCCGCCCCGGCAGGGCTGGCAGCCCCGGCAGGCCGCCGCCCTGGCAGGGCAGGCAGGCAGCCGCGTGATTGGCAAAGGAGCAAAACCACTTAGCGTTACAGCGGTGTCGCCTTGATTGCAACACAAGGACGATTAATCGATTCATCCCTCTCGTTATCACGTTCGAGGATTTTGGTCTGCAGAAGCGGCTTCTTTTTCAGTGGATTGACCGATGAAAGCGAAAGGCAGCGTGACTTGGTCGATTTTTTTCTTGCAAGGGGCACTGTCGGAAAATTTGAAGAGAGACGAGTACGATACTGCAACGATCAAAATCAATCAGTTGATCAATTAATCAATCATTCAATAATCCTATATTCTGACGAAAAGACTTTTCATTCAACATTCGTTGAGTACAAATGTACCAAACAAAATATGAAAATAATTTTGTTCTAAGAGTCACGAGCTACTGTAGGTAGGTTCCCGGAAGTGGAGGATGTCTTTGAGCAGTCTGTGTTCGTGGGTAGATTCTCCTGTTTCCTAGTTTTCGGCCCTCCTCACCCCTCTGCGCAGTGCAGTATCCTCCAATCGTCTTCGGCGTCCAGCAGACTGATCCCTCTGTCCCTCTCGCACTCCTGGGGCGTCCTGATGAGGTGCGTGAGGGAGACGGAGGCGCATCAGTCTAGTGCGTCCACTGCGCCCGGCGCCCCGCCGCGTCCGGACACTTCTGCCATGTTTTCCAGTCGCCCAACTTTCCGGCGGGACGCTTCGGCCGCTGCCAAAATCAGACCCTCAATTATAGACCCCCCCCCCCCCTCCTCCAAAACTGTCCAAAAACACCGACCGGAGCAACTTTGTCTCGCGAGACAGAGAGAGGGAGAGAGAGAGAGAGAGAGAGAGAGAGAGAGAGAGAGAGAGGAGAGAGGGCACGAGGTGTGAAAATAACGCCTTGACTCCCTCTTCCTCTCCCTCCTCCCCCCTCCACATGCCCTTCACCCGCCGCCTGGCCCGCTCTCTGCCCCCGCAGCGTTACATCCCACCTCGACAGCGGGAGCGGGGGTTCCTCCTCGAGGCTCCGGAAAGTGGGGCACATGGTTCACTTATTGTTTTCTCTCCGTGTGTGCGTGTGTGTGTGTGTGTGTGTGCGCGAGTGAATATGTGGCAGTCTGCGCGCCTCCTGCGCACTCGTGCTGCAACCCCGCGAGGGAAAAGCCTACAGAATCACTTGAAAGTGCTTTGATTTTTAGAATTATAGCGTTTACAGCCGCTCAGGGGTCTTGCTCTGAAATTTGTGTCCAGGTATGTCTTTATTTGGTGCCTTTCGAAAGGGAAGACACGACAACTACATTGGTACATCACTACGGAAGTGACACAACCTTCCATTAAGTTTCGTAGAATAGACCGACATTTTCTCTTATGGAAGACACCTTTTGTTTCCCTTTTGCAAATGCTTCGCGTCGGAAATTTAAAAAAAAATGTTTTGAGATGTGTTAATATTCAGCCCTCTATCAAGGAAAGAAGCATAGAGATATCTTGGGTAACAAAATAAATCACATCTCTTGTTTTCGAACCAAAATTACCTTCAAACGAAACTTTCTTTGATGTCCACCACGCACCAAGACAACCAAACTGCCGTTTTGGAGTTGTTTTTTTTTGCTCCCCAAAACAAATGTCTGCAGTCGCTTCTGCGAGAGACAGAGAGATCTCTCCGCCGCCGCGGCTGGCGGCTCGCGCGTGTTCGATCCAGTCGCCCCGCGCCGCGCCGCCCCCGCCGCGCCACCCCCAGAACACCGTGTCCACCCCCACAGCCCCCGCAGCACCGCCAGCAACTACAGCCTCCACGCCCAATGACCTTGGTCGCACCAGAGACTTTGCGTAGACATTGCTAAACGGTGCAACACACCCTCAGATTCTTTTAAAGGGCCCTCTTAACATACGTTGAAATGAGAACATACGTACTACAATAAAATTCATGCGTAATACGATGAAATTCATGAGTAATACGATGATATACATGCGAAATACGATAAAATTCATGCGTAATACGATGATATACATGCGTAATACGATGAAATTCATGCGTCATACGATGAAAAATTAAGCATATTACGTATGTGCAAATTTTTGCGTACCTTACGATGAAAAACCATCGTAATACGTATGAAAACGATCATAAGATGTTGA